GCATTCATATCTTATTATTGAAAAGAGAAAATGTACAGTATTCATTTGACAAATCAAATCCAAATGCTAAAATTCTAATTAGGACATTAGAATTGGTAAATATATCTTGCATTCATATGAGAAGTTATATGATTAAGATATGTTCAGTTGATAATCATGTGACCTGTTGGTAGTTATCAAATTACTAACATACTTTTCATTTCTCCCAATAAGCCAATTCGTAGTTAGAAGTGTGCATGCTCGTATAAAGATCAGTCGACATATAAACACCATATGACCTTGGATATGAGCATCTGCAACTCAACCACGAATTGGCTTATTCAGTCGGGAGCCTCCCATATCAATCAATCAATATCATATTAATCTGCTGATCTTCCATGTTTGGTCAAACTCTCCAGAATTTTCAAAAATTATTCCGAAATACCTAACACAGGTAATTAGTTGCCTTTTTTGTTACCAATAATTGAGTACATATCATACATTTTTTTTTTAAATTTTAGGTTATCCAGCATCCATCCAATGCTTTTGAAATTCGGATGAAGAAGTCCGGATTTGAGATGCTTCCTGGTCAGTACATATTCATAAAGTGTCCACAATTGTCAAATTTTGAATGGCATCCATTTACTCTAACATCCGTGAGTATCATGACAAAACAATTTTGATATTAACTTGCACATTTTGAAGTAACATAAAAATAAACAACTTGAGACATCAAAACTACCTAGGTGTGAATACTTAAATATTTTCAAATAGTCTGACAATTATTATTTTTGTATTCAGTATTATTTAAGTTAGGCCTTCTATACTAGTTGAAATGTATGTGAGAAAGCAGTGACATATGTGATAGGATGGATGAGGGGTCATGATGGGAAAGTTAGGTAGCACTAGCTGGGGAATGAGGTTATTCAACATCATATTTTAAGCAAGGGCTAAAACTTTTTTTTGGCGGCCTGTGCATCCCATGCTGTTCCTTTGATACACCAGGAAACACTTAAATTTCACCGTTCCCTGGATACACCAAAATGGAGCAAAGACATAATGTTTCTGATATCTGTATACTTGACTATGTTGTGTTTTTTTCTTATAGAGTTGCTGTTGATGGACCGTTTGGTACCGCAAGTATTGACATATTTAAGTACAAAGTTGGTGTATGTGTGGCAGCAGGTATTGGTGTTACACCCTTTGCATCTATCCTGAAGACTATTTGGTATATTCTACTTTATATTTAGCCTTCATTTTCTACAATATCTTGCAAACATAGTTTTATTATTTATATAATAACTATGCTAAATTATTTGAAAAATATAATCCTATATTTGAATGGCTTATTTTGTTTTGTTAGTTTTATTTAAACTTTAAATATTGATAGTTCATTTCTTGCAAATACACAGATGCATAAATAATAGGTTTTTCTATATTCTTTGCATCCTTAAAATTGGTTAGTAATAAGTTTATTCCAAATCAATGAAAACTGAATTGTTTTGAATGTGTACATTATAGAAGATAATAATTTATATGCTCATTTAAAGAAAAAATATTATATATATTCCAATAGTTTGACGAGACAGTAAGAATTTTTATTTTATCATGCACATAGGATATTTTACTGTCGTGCACAACACATATGAAAATTGTTCTAGCATTGCTCTTATAATTTGTTTTGGGTTGGCAGTTACACTAAATGTAAAGTCGTCCACACCCTAGATATCAGATTGAAAAGGTTAGAATGAGTAAAAATGACCTTCTAGATGATTTGATTATTAAATGTAATTATCATTTTAGGCATCGTTTGTTGAACAATTCTGAAGATATGAAACTTAGCAAAGTATATTTTTTCTGGATCTGTCCCGAAACAAATGCATTTGCTTGGTTCTCGGAATTACTGGAAGTGTTTGAACGCGATATGGTTGAGAAGGGATATGCAGACTTCCTTAATTACAACATTTACTTGACAAAGGGATTGAGTTTTAAACAGGTTTGTGTAATTGTATAGAGCTATA